CGCACACCCGGCTCCCGTTCGCCCAGCTCCCGCACACCCGGCTCCCGCACACTCTGCCCAAGGTACCCTGCGCCACCCGCTGGCGGGCCTCACGGGACTGGACGGGACGGGGCGGGGCGGGCGGCGGGGACTGACCATCACCGGGGCCTTTTCCACAGAGCGTTTCCGCGTTTGGTTTTGGGGGAGTCTCCTTGTCTGTGGACGGGCAGATGGTTCGCCTTGAAAGCCGGGCTCATTTTCAGCCGGAGCGCCCGCCCAGCCAAGTCTCCCCGATCCGATCCTGGGGGTCGTGGCTCCGGAAGGCCTTCGCCCGCGTTCTGGCCGCGCAGGCTCCGCGTCGGCTCGGCAGCCGGAGCCGGGCCGGGCCCCCCTGCCCGGGCTGCCCTGGCGGGCGGGGCCTGCGGGCACAGTGGACTGAGCTGGCGGCAGCAGGAGGCCGCCCGCAGGGAGGAGCCGGCGCCAGGGAAACCTCCGTGTTTCCCAGCGGCCAGAAGCAGAAGAGGGAGAACGGTGTCCTTCCCAGACATGGGAGTCTGCTGCGCGGGCCCTCCCCGGGCGCCCCCGCGTGGGTCCCCGGCCTGGAGCGGGAGGAGGCAGGCAGGCAGGCCCTCCGCGGCCTCCCACCCCACAGCCGCTCCGACGAGCACCCACTGTTGTCAGGCTGCTTTGCAGCTCGGGAGAGATGGGGGGCCGTTATCGGCTGAAGCCGGACAGTCCTCCCGTTCAGCGGTGAGAACCGGAAAGCTGTGTGACCCCGGCCAGTCGTTCAGCCTCTCTGAGCGTGCTGGCACCTGCCGGAGGGACGGCAGTTCGGCGTTGTGAGGGAGCGGTCCGTGCCAGAGCCTGGTGGTGCATTCCTACGTGACAGGCTCCGTGTGGCTTCCCTGCCCCCCGCCCCCCCCACCAGCCGGTCCCCACGGTGCACTGGCAGCGAGGTTAGGGGACGCACAGCCCAGGGGCGTCCCCTCCTCTGCCGGCTCAGAGGTCTCTCCTCCTCGCTCTCACGCTGAGAAATAACGGAGGCTTTTGGGGTGACTTAGAAATGAGTGAGCCAGAGGGTCCCAGGACCCCGTCACGGGGGGCGGGGGGGAGCGGGGGGGCGAGTTCAAACTGGGGGACGCGCGGGTGGGAGGGTGTGTGAGCCCCGTGGTTAAACGACCCGTGTTCAGCAGTCGCACTCCGCCCCCCATGCCCTCCTCGCCGCCCTCGCAGCGCCCACAGAGCGGACGGACGGTCTCCGGAAGCCCGGCTGACCTCTGACCCCGCGCCGGGGGACCCGCGCGGCGAGCTCGCTGCCACCCACAGTGCCCCGGGCCCAGGAAGTGGACGCTTGCCCATCTAAGGTGCTTGGAGGAGAAACTGTTTCCATTTTTTAAAAAAAAACAGCAGCCCGCCGAGACCGGTTTGGCTCAATGGATAGAGTGTTGGCTTGGGGACCGAAGGGACCCGGGTTCAATTCCGGTCAAGGGCATGTACCGTGGTTGCGGGCACATCCCCAGTAGAGGGTGTGCAAGAGGCAGCTGATCAATGACTCTCTCTCATCGATGTTTCTAGCTTTCTTATCTCTCTCCCTTCCTCTCTGTACAAAATCAATAAAACATATTTTTTTTTAAAAACAAACAAACAGCAGCCCTGGCCATTGTGGCTCAGTGGGTTGAGCGTCGTCCTGGTTCGGTTGCTGGTCAGGGCACATAGCTAAGAAATAAAACAATAAACTTAGCCAAAACCAGTTGGCTCAGTGGATAGAGCGTCGGCCTGCGGACTGAGGGGGTCCCACGTTCAATTCCAGTCAAGGGCGTGTACCTTGGTTGTGGGCACATCCCCAGTGGGGGGTGTGCAGGAGGCAGCTGGTTGATGATTCTCTTTTATTGATGTTTCTGACTCCCTCTCCCTCTCCCTCCCTCTCTGTGAAAAATCAATAAAACATATTTTTTAAAAATTAAAAAAAAGAAATGTAAAAAAATCTTTAAAGCACACACACAGGGAAGACGAGTGGTCACAGGTGAGTGGCCGGCCCGGGGCGGGTGTGACTGCCTCGCCGGTTCGCACTGCGGACCCCGGCTGCTCCGCGTCCTGGCTCTGCACACGGACCCCGCGCTGCAGGCTGGCCCGGCTCCGGGGCAGGGGCAAAGAGAACCCCGGCAGGGGGAGGGTGCTGCTTCAGCCGTAGGGTTAGGGCCGGGGCAGGGCCGTCCGGGGGGCGCCGGCCGGGGCTGAGGGGACAGGCGTGTGGCTCCGGGGAGACCTGAGCCGGCCCCCCTGCCTGGAACCTGCTCCGGGGCTCTGACCCGGCGCCCGATGGCAGACGCCCCTGTGCACCTGCCACGCGCGGGGCTGACGGTGCGGCCGCTCGGGGACCAGCCCGGGGGCCGGGGGCCGGGTGCGGCCCGGCTCTGGGAGCTGGCGCGCACAGATCAGAACGGGTGCAGGTGTAGCCGGGCGCGGAGGGAGGGGCATGGGGCAGAGGAGGCGCTGGGGGAGGGCTGAGCTGTCCTGGGCCTCCGTGGCCGTTCTCCTGGGGTCCCTGTGGACACTCTGCCTGGCGTCTGTGCGGGGTCTCCCGGCCCGCATGGGGGGTCTCAGGGCCCGCGTGGGGGGTCTCCCGGCCCGCGTGGGGGGTCACGGCCCGCGTGGGGGGTCTCCCGGCCCGCGTGGGGTCTCCCGGCCCGCGTGGGGGGTCACGGCCCTCAGGGGGCTCAGGTCCTCTTGTTTGGGGTTCTGTGCACTTCCTGTCCTTGTAAATCTATTTCTTTCACCAGGTGGGGGAAGTTTTCCGACATTATTTCTTCAAATAGGTTTTCGATATCTTGCTCTCTCTCTTCTCCTGGCACCCCCATAATTCTGATGTTGGCACGCTTGAAGTTGTCCCAGCGGCTCCTGACACTATCTTCAACTTTCTGGGTTCTCTTCTCTTCTTGCTTCTCCAGGGGAGTGTCCTTTGGCTCTTTGCATTCCAAATCTTTGACTTGATTCTTGTGTTCCTCCAGTCTGCTGTTGGGTCTCCGTATAATATTTTTTATTTCAGTCAGTGTATGTTTAATTTTTAGCTGGGTCTCATTAAATTTATCAGCCTTTTCTAGGAAATTCTTGAAAAACCTTATAATCATGGTTTTGAACTCTATATCCGGTCTTTTATTCTCCATCTCTTTCGTTTGAGATCTGTTTCCTTGTCTCGGCATTTCTGCTGCTTCCCAGAGTTGGTAGGGTGGCTTTGTGTGTTTGGTGTCCTGAATGTCCCAGTGGCTCTGCCTCCCCAGTTACCTGAGGTGGACACTCTTGGTGCTCCCCTTTGTGGACTGCGTGTACAGCCTTGTTGTAGTTAAGTCTTGATTGTTGTTGGTATCACTGGGAGGAATAGACCTCCAGGCCCATTGGATGTATCAGCTGTGTCGACTCTGGGATACCTTCTGTATTGGAGACAGTCATATAGGATCAGACTTGCAAAATTGCAAAGGTCTCTGTGCTCAGCTTGGATGGGGCGGAGTCTCGGGGCTGAACTGACAGTCTTGGCTTCCCGTCAGCCCTGCCCTTGTGCGCTCACCTGAGTTCCCACCTGACCGGCCCAGATTCCCCTGCAAGAGCATGGGTGTCCCAGGGGCTCGCCCAGAATTGGGTTGGGTCTCTGTAGTCTGGAGCTCCCGACTCCTTCCGCTGTGGAGAGGCTGCAGCAGCCTCCGCTGTCAGACCTCTCTGTGCACACTCACTGGCGAGCGACTGTAGACCCTGCCCACTGCGGCTCCCGGCTCCCCGGTCTCCCAGTCTCTGAGTCGCCAGGTGTCTTTCTCTACTGTCTGGACTCCACCCGTATGAGCCTGGGCCCACGGGGTTTCGGCCGGGGTTGGGGTTCAGTGCAGTCAGAAAGGGTTCAGTGCAGCCGGGGGCTTCCTTTCCGCTCCCGCCAGCCAGGCATTTGGCTGCCCTTCCTCTCTGCACACAAGCATCTCCCTACCTCAGCGCTTTGCAGCTCCCAGTCCGATCCGCGAGCCCTTCTCCTTCTTTCTGGTTTAGATTTCCCACTTGGCCAGCTCTCCTGTGGTTTTGGATGATGTCCGTTCTGATTTCAGTTGTTGTTTAGAAATTGTGCGAGGCGGCAGCCTAGGTGCTTGCCTAGGCCGCCATCTTGGTTCTCTCTAGGTGAGGGTTTCAGTGCCCGTTTCACCGCTGGCTTCTCTGCAGCTCGGGTTCCACAAATGACCATATTGCTTGTTGGGAAGGAAGGTGCTTGGTGAATGTTGTTTCTCCTTTCTGCCCACGGAGCTGCTCCTACACATGTGTGTGCACACACGTGTGCACATATAGGCATATGCATGCACACACGTGCACATGCACACACCTGTGTGAGCACCCGGCCTGGAAAGGAGCAGCACAATGAGGAGAGACCCAGGCCTCTCACACAGGTGCCGGGAGCTCCCCTTAAACTGCTCTCCAAAATTGCTCGCCAGCAGGGGGCGCCTCTGGTTCCTGCGCCCACAGTGACATGTGAGGGACAGAGGAGGGGGCGACCGTGGCCTCCGGTCTCCCTCTGAGTGGCCGTGGCTGATGGGTCGTAGACGTCATTTTCAGGGTCCCCGTGTCCATCAGGCCGAGGAGCCTGGGGACAGCTGTCCTCCCTCCCGAGGTGAGAGACTGAGGCCAGAGGAGTGGGGAGGGGCAGTGTGAGCTCAGACCCTCCCTGACGGGGTGGCCCGGGATGGGGCCTGCCTGGGATGGAGACCACCCTGTCCCCCCTCACACCCCGAAACCTCCTCCGTGGAGGTCCCCTGGCTTCTGGGCCCTGACACAGCCCCCATGACAGGCGAGGCCCTGCGCTGTGGGCGCTGTGGATCCTGTGGGCGCTGTGGATCCTGTGGGCACTGTGGGCGCTGTGGATCCTGTGGGCACTGTGGGCGCTGTGGGTGTGCCCTCTCGCAGGCCACGGTGCTGGCCTGGCTCTGAGCGCACGCACCCTAACAGGAGGCCGTTCTCACTCTAACGCCCAGCTTCTCGTTGGCTTGTTTCAGAGCAAATCATGGCGGAAGATAAAGAACATGGTGCACTGGTCCCCCTTCGTCATGTCCTTCAAGAAGAAGTACCCCTGGATCCAGCTGGCCGGGCACGCAGGTAGCGGTCCTGGGCTCTCCCTGGGGGTCGCCCAGCGCGCGGGGCGTGCTTGGGGGTTGGGGGGGTGAGAGGGACCAATCGGGTTCTCTGAGGCTCGCAGTGGCAGCCGCTGCCGTGCTCCCGAGATGGGGCCCTGACGCTACCAGCAGGTGCACTGGGCAGCTGCCACCCCCTCCCCAACACACACACACACACACCCCGAGACCCTGCACGGGGAGGGCTGTGCCCACACACACACACACACACACACACCCCGAGACCCTGCGCAGGGAGGGCTGTGCCCACACACACAATATGGTGGGGATCTCTCTTTTCCACGTCCGGTGTGGAAAGAGAGATGAACGAGCCGGTTCTAAGTGGAGGCGGCCAGGGATTGAGAACTAACGGAAAGAAAGCAAGCAGGCGCAGAAATAGATTGAAAGCTGGGAGCCGGGTGGGCCGCCACTCTCTCCGACGGAGAGGCGGGATGGTAACCCCTCCCAGCGCGTTTACTTTATACCCCCGACACCAGGAAGTACCCCCAGCTTCTTTGCATTCTTAATAGACCCTAGCATGCCCGGATTTACATATCTATCCCGCCCCTGCAGACACCTGGGCTGATAGGAAGTCAGAACTGATAACGGGTCCGGCCTTATTGGGGAAGCATGTTCCCAGGGCGTGGCTCTCTGCCTGTCGCCCCGAGTTCAGCTGACGATAATTAAGGAAAATGCCTGTGTGCCTTCCTGGGCGCTGTCTACAGTTCTCTTAGTCTCTGAGCTCAGTGAGGCAGAGGAAGCGGTAGGCCCGCCACCTGCCATCCGGGACAGGGAGGCACCGACTGCGCCTTCACTGGGCGTCTGCTGTGCCCCCATTGCTGGGGTTTCTCTTCTGCCCCAAGCACATAGCTCCGCCCCGGCTCCGGGAGGGACGCACCTAGAGGCCCCGGAGGGCACTGACCGGCCGCCGGCCCTGCCCCTCCAGCGGGGAGCTCTGGCCCTCCGTCTCCGGGGAAGCCTGGGTCAGGGTTGCTGTCAGTGTCAGGGTCTGGGGCTCGCACCCACTCCTCTCCCCGTGCCCCGCCCACAGTGGAGGCCCGCCCAGCCTCAGCCCTGCGCTTAGCAAGCTAGGGGCCTGGGGCCAGGGGCTGGGGGGGAGGGGGGCAGAGGGGAGGCCCTGCTCTTAGCAAGCTCCGTGACCCCGAGGGGCAGGGCCCTGTGGGACCCCGAGGGCAGGGTGGGCGGGGAGGGCGGGCGGGAGGCCCACGCTGAGGCCCGCGCTCCGCAGGGAGTTTCAAGGCGGCCGCCAACGGCCGCATCCTGAAGAAGCACTGTGAGTCGGAGCAGCGCTGCCTGGACCGGCTGATGGCCGACGTGCTGAAGCCCTACGTGCCGGCCTACCACGGGGACGTGGTCAAGGACGGGGAGCGCTACAACCAGATGGACGACCTGCTGGCCGACTTCGACTCGCCCTGCGTGATGGACTGCAAGATGGGCATCAGGTGAGCCGGGGCGGGGGACGGGGGGCACGGGGGCTCTCAGACCAGGGGCCTGGGCGGGCGGGGGCGGCGTGCTGGGGGGGGGGGGGGTCCGGGCGGCGCTGACCGCGGCCCCGCCCCCAGGACCTACCTGGAGGAGGAGCTGACGAAGGCGCGGAAGAAGCCCAGCCTGCGCAAGGACATGTACCAGAAGATGGTGGAGGTGGACCCCGCGGCGCCCACGGCCGAGGAGCACGCCCAGCGCGCCGTCACCAAGCCCCGCTACATGCAGTGGCGGGAGACCATCAGCTCCACCGCCACCCTGGGCTTCCGCATCGAGGGCATCAAGGTGAGGCGGCCGGCGCAGGGAGGCTGTGCCCCCCAACACACACACCCCGAGACCCTGCGCAGGGAGGCTGTGCCCACACACACACACACACACACACACCCCGAGACCCTGCGCAGGGAGGCTGTGCCCACACACACACACACACCCCGAGACCCTGCGCAGGGAGGCTGTGCACACACACACACCCCGAGACCCTGCGCAGGGAGGGCTGTGCACACACACACACACACACACCCCGAGACCCTGCGCAGGGAGGCTGTGCCCCCCCAACACACACCCACACACACACCCCGAGACCCTGCGCAGGGAGGCTGTGCCCCCCCAACACACACCCACACACACACCCCGAGACCCTGCGCAGGGAGGCTGTGCCCACACACACACACACACACACACACCCCGAGACCCTGCGCAGGGAGGGCTGTGCCCACACACACACACACACACACCCCGAGACCCTGCGCAGGGAGGGCTGAGCCCCCCCAACACACACACACACCCCGAGACCCTGCGCAGGGAGGGCTGTGCGCACACACACACACACACACACACACCCTGAGACCCTGCACGGGGAGGCTGTGCACACACACACACACACACACACACCCCGAGACCCTGCGCAGGGAGGGCTGTGCCCACACACACACACACACCCCGAGACCCTGCGCAGGGAGGCTGTGCACACACACACACACACACACACACCCCGAGACCCTGCGCAGGGAGGGCTGTGCCCACACACACACACACCCCGAGACCCTGTGCAGGGAGGGCTGTGCCCACACACACACACAAACACACACACCTCGAGACCCTGTGCAGGGAGGGCTGTGCCCACACACACACACACACACACACCCCGAGACCCTGCGCAGGGAGGGCTGTGCCCACACACACACACACCCCGAGACCCTGCGCAGGGAGGGCTGTGCCCACACACACACACCCCGAGACCCTGCGCAGGGAGGGCTGTGCCCACACACACACCCCGAGACCCTGCGCAGGGAGGGCTGTGCCCACACACACACACACACACACACCCCGAGACCCTGCGCAGGGAGGGCTGTGCCCACACACACACACACCCCGAGACCCTGCGCAGGGAGGCTGTGCACACACACACACACACACCCCGAGACCCAGCGCAGGGAGGCTGTGCCCACACACACACCCCGAGACCCTGCGCAGGGAGGCTGTGCCCACACACACACACACACACACACACCCCGAGACCCTGTGCAGGGAGGGCTGTGCCCACACACACACACACACACACACCCCGAGACCCTGCGCAGGGAGGGCTGTGCACACACACACACACACCCCGAGACCCTGCGCAGGGAGGGCTGTGCCCACACACACACACACACACCCTGAGACCCTGCGCAGGGAGGGCTGTGCCCACACACACACACACACCCCGAGACCCTGCGCAGGGAGGGCTGTGCCCACACACACACACACACACACCCCGAGACCCTGTGCAGGGAGGGCTGTGCCCACACACACACACACCCCAAGACCCTGCTCAGGGAGGGCTGTGCCCACACACACACACACACACACACACCCCGAGACCCTGTGCAGGGAGGGCTGTGCCCCCCCCCACACACACACACACCCCGAGACCCTGCGCAGGGAGGGCTGTGCCCACACACACACACACACACACACACACACACCCCGAGACCCTGCCAAGCTCTCCTCCGCGCAGGCGGGGCGGGCAGACAGCCTGGGGCGGCCTTAGAGAATCTATCTGGTCCTCAGGCCAGGATGGGGCGGGGGTGGGGGAGGGGGTCTCAGAGGCTCTCCCTACCCCCCCCCCCCCCACACACACACACACAGAGCAGGGCTGTGAGGCGCCAGCCCTGGAGCGGAGGGGGTCCCTGCGGGGCTCCTGGTGTCTGTTCACTCCTCCCTCCATCTCCTCACCTGCTGGGAGGCGGGCACAGAGGAGGTGGGCACAGAGGTAGCCGGCAGGGTGACTCGGGGTGGGGAGGTGGGCACAGAGGAGGTGGGCATGGAGGTGGCGGGCACAGAGGAGGCGGGCACAGAGGTGTTGGGCACAGAGGTAGCCGGCAGGGTGGCTCGGGGCTGGGGGGTGGGTACGGAGGTGGCAGGGGTCAGGCAGGGTGACTCCAGGCATGAAGGTGGGCACGGAGGAGGCGGGCATGGAGGGGCGGGCACGGAGGAGGCGGGCACGGAGGAGGTGGAGGTGGCAGGCAGGGTGGCTCGGGGCATGAAGGCGGGCACGGAGGAGGCGGAGGTGGCAGGGAGGGTGGCTCGGGGCATGGAGGCGGGCACGGAGGAGGCGGAGGTGGCAGGCAGGGTGGCCCGGGGCATGAAGGCGGGCACGGAGGTGGTGTGCACGGAGGGGCGGACCCAGAGGAGGTGGAGGTGGCAGGCAGGGTGGCCCGGGGCTCTGGGACCCCCAGTAAAGGACCGAAGTCCAGGAGGAACGGAGCTGCTCGGGGCGGACCCCGCTCTCCTGTCTGGGGAGGGGCCGCTCTGGGCCACAGGGACCTCCTGGCGCTGGGCGCCGGGGCCAGGCCGGACGGGCAGCCGAGGCCTGTCCACCTCCCTCAGCCCCGCTGTTCCCCTGCCGCACCCCGACATTCTCGCCCACACGGCCCCCTCCTCGGAGCCTCCTGTGCCCTCACTCTCGCTGGCCACCCTCCAGGGCCCAGACAGCAGCCCCGCTGTGCCGCCCGGGACCACCTGTGCCAGGCTGCGGGCACTGGCCGTGTGGCCCCGCGCTGCCCGGGGACCACCTGTGCCAGGCTGCGGGCACTGGCCGTGTGGCCCTGCGCTGCCCGGGGACCGCCTGTGCCAGGCTGCGGGCACCGGCCGTGTGGCCCCGCGCTGCCCGGGACCACCTGTGCCAGGCTGCGGGCACCAGCATGTGGCACCCGCGCCGCCCGGGGACCGCCTGTGCCAGGCTGCGGGCACCAGCATGTGGCCCCGCACTGCCCGGGGACCGCCTGTGCCAGGCTGCGGGCACCGGCCGTGTGGCCCCGCGCTGCCCGGGGACCACCTGTGCCAGGCTGTGGGCACCAGCATGTGGCCCCCGCGCTGCCCGGGACCACCTGTGCCAGGCTGTGGGCACCAGCATGTGGCCCCCGCGCTGCCCGGGGACCACCTGTGCCAGGCTGTGGGCACCAGCATGTGGCACCCGCGCCGCCCGGGACCACCTGTGCCAGGCTGTGGGCACCGGCCGTGTGGCCCCGCTGTGCCGCCCGGGACCACCTGTGCCAGGCTGTGGGCACCAGCATGTGGCACCCGCGCCGCCCGGGACCACCTGTGCCAGGCTGTGGGCACCAGCATGTGGCACCCGCGCCGCCCGGGACCACCTGTGCCAGGCTGTGGGCACCGGCCGTGTGGCCCCGCGCTGCCCGGGGACCGCCTGTGCCAGGCTGTGGGCACTGGCCGTGTGGCCCCGCGCTGCCCGGGGACCGCCTGTGCCAGGCTGTGGGCACTGGCCGTGTGGCCCCGCGCTGCCCGGGGACCGCCTGTGCCAGGCTGTGGGCACTGGCCGTGTGGCCCCGCGCTGCCCGGGGCCACCTGTGCCAGGCTGCGGGCACTGGCCGTGTGGCCCTGCGCTGCCCGGGGACCACCTGTGCCAGGCTGTGGGCACCGGCCGTGTGGCCCCTGCTGTGCCGCCCGGGACCACCTGTGCCAGGCTGTGGGCACTGGCCGTGTGGCCCCGCGCTGCCCGGGGACCACCTGTGCCAGGCTGTGGGCACCGGCCGTGTGGCCCCGCGCTGCCCGGGACCACCTGTGCCAGGCTGCGGGCACCGGCCGTGTGGCCCCTGCTGTGCCGCCCGGGACCACCTGTGCCAGGCTGTGGGCACCGGCCGTGTGGCCCCGCGCTGCCCGGGACCACCTGTGCCAGGCTGCGGGCACCGGCCGTGTGGCCCCGCGCTGCCCGGGACCACCTGTGCCAGGCTGTGGGCACTGGCCGTGTGGCCCCGCGTTGCCCGGGGACCACCTGTGCCAGGCTGTGGGCACTGGCCGTGTGGCCCCGCGCTGCCCGGGACCACCTGTGCCAGGCTGTGGGCACCGGCCGTGTGGCCCTGCGCTGCCCGGGGCAGTCTGGTGGAGCAGTTTTCTCAGATCCGGGTGTTGCCCGCCCTGCTGACCCTCCCGGCCCCCCCCCCCCAGAAAGAAGACGGCTCGGTGAACCGGGACTTCAAGAAGACCAAGACGCGGGAGCAGGTCACCGAGGCCTTCCGGGAGTTCACCAAGGGCAACCCCAACATCCTGGTGAGTGGGCCCCGGGCGGGCGGCGGGCGCTGGGCAGGCGGGGTGCCCGGTCTGCAGGGGCGGAGCGGCCACGGCAGCAGCCACGGCGCCCGCACAGCCCGGCCATGCTGCTGTGACCGGAGGGGGCCGGCCTGCCCGCGGCACCGAGGGCCGTGTGCGGGCGGGCCAGCCGTCCTGCGGGCGGGTGGGGAGCTGGGGACCCTCACCCCCTCCTGCCCCTCATGCTCCCAGCCGCGTCCTCTGTCCTCCGAGGCAATCCTCCTGGCGTGGGTGCTCCTCAGCAGCCGCTGCCACCCAGCTCTGCCCGGCCTCACCCCCTGGTGCAGCCCCTGGGGCTGGTGGACGTCCTTGTCCCCATCCCACAGAGGAGGAAACGGGTCAAGGCCACACGGCTAGGACAGGGCGGAGCTGGGACTCACCCAGGGGCCGGCCCTGCACCCAGTCTTCCAGGCTGAGGCTGAGCAAGGGAAGTGGGGGGGAGGGGGCAGGGTAGGGGCGTGTGTGTGTGTGTGTGTGTAGAGTCCCAGGCCCTCCTCGGGAAGACCCCGCTGGCGTTTTGGAGCCGGGAAGTGCAGGTGACAACCTCATGACACAGTGACTTCCCTGACGTGTGCTCTGACCACGGGGATCAGAACCCCGACCTCCCCTCCAAAGCAGGGTGTCATGCCTCTGCACCCCGGGGCTGGGAGCTTGTGACAGCCGGACACGCAGGCACACGGCTGGGAGCCTGTGACAGCCGGACACGCAGGCACAGGGCTGGGCACTGAGGCTGCAGAGCAGGGAGGGTGGGCAGACACCTTTTCTCCAAGGAGACTCAGCCGCCGGCTGGAATGGGGCCGCTCCCTCCCTTCCCTCCCCCAGGGAGACTTCCCGTGGCCCCTGAGGGCCCAGCCACGGGCACACACCCCCTCCAGGGCCCGAGGCGCTGGGCGCTGGTCACTCGCTCCTCAGCAGGGCAGCTCAGAAGCTGCTTCCCATGCCCAAGGGAGGGGCTCCCTCCGAGCCTGGCACTGAGGCCTGTGCGCCTGTGGTGGCTCCCTGGGTCTCGGAGGCGGCACCCCAGCCACACGGTCGGCCTGTTTGTCCGGCTCCTGGAGGGAGACGTGTGGCTCTCCGCCCGCTCTGCCCTTTCAGAAGTCAGGGCCCTGACGCCTGTGTTGGAGACGCCATGGCAACGGGCTCCCAGGATGCGGCCGCCTCTGCGCTGCCTCCTGGTGCCCTTCACCCGTGTGAGCGCCTGCAAAGCACGGCCAGGAGCCTGCCCGCCCCGACTGCTCTGGGCCTCAGCTGCTCCCATGACCTGCGTGTCCCTCCCCCTGACACGCAGGGACCCTGATGGGGCTGAAGCCCCAGCCCAGCCCCGAGTGTTCAAATCCCGCCCCCTTTCTCTCCCCAGATCGCCTACCGGGACCGGCTGAAGGACATCCGGGCCACCCTGGAGGTGTCCCCGTTCTTCCGGGGCCACGAGGTGGGTGTGGGCCTCTGCCGCGGGCACGCCTGCCTGCCCCCCCAGCCGGCGGCGCTGTCAGGGTGCCGGGGCGACCCCTCGGACTGCCTGCCTGAGGCCCGGCTCCCTGCAGCCACTCCGTCCACACGCCCGCCCGAGGGTCTGGGCCCCCTGCCCCCGCCCGTCCGCAGGGAGCAGGCGGGAAACCAGGCGCCGGAGAGAGGGGGTTTGGAAGCTGTCAGCAGGTCCCTCTGCTGGAGGGTTCGTAAGGGCGTCCAGGTCCCCAGCCCCACATGTGTGCGCACATGGACAAACACGTGCACACACAGCTGCAGCCTCGGGTTCTCGGGTGCCTTCCCTCCCGCGGCCTCGCTGCAGCCCAGCTGTGCCTGGTCCCCGGCTGCTCCTGGGCCTCCGTCTTCCCGGCTGCTGCCAGCTCTTTGCTCAGCACTGAGCCCCCCTCGCTCCGGCCTGCCTGCTTCTCTGGGGACAGGGCCCCAGAGGCCTCTGCCTCCCGCTTGGCCCTCTGCGTTACTCCCTGGAGTTTGTGTCCCTGCTCTTCACCAGTCTCCCAGGAGACGGGCCCCGAGGCTCTGCTGTTCCTCACCAGGAAGAAGGCCTTGCTCTGGGCTGGCGTTTCCGGGGTCTTCCCTGCCCGGAGCCCCGGCCCCCCCGCCCCCTGAGCTCCTGGCCCCACGGGGGGGCCGCAGTGAGGGATTGGGGCGTTTCTGTCTGGGAACGCACTTCCTGTGCCTTCACTCTGACCTGCCCCCAGCGGAACCACAGCCTCAGACAGCCCAGGCCTCTGCCCAGGACAAGCAGGGCTTCCTGCGGGGATGGGGGCGATCGGCCTCACGGCCGGCCCCCGGGGGCTGTGTGTGCATTTGGAGGGGGTCTCAGGGCAGAAGCTCTCGGAGCTGCTGGAACAGCCGAGTGACCCCTGACACCCCGGGACCCCTGTGCAGAGGGGCACGGGCTAGGAGGCGAAGGGGGAGCCCCAAGTCTTAGCTGTGGTCTGACACAGTGGGGAGGGTGCAGGCTGGAGCTGGGGGGGGGGAGGGGTGGAGGGGCGGGGAGAGGATCCTCCATGGGGACCTCCTGTCGCTGCTGCACGGTGGCTGCTGCTCTGGACCCCTGTCCTCTTCCCCTCGCGGCCTCCGGCCCCGCCCGGGTCCCCGGGAGCCGGGGTGCAGCGGGAGGCGCGGCCGGCCGGGCGGCCTGCGGGCTCCGCGCCCTCACCTCCCCGCCCCCTGCAGGTCATCGGCAGCTCGCTGCTCTTCATCCACGACAAGAAGGAGCAGGCCAAGGTGTGGATGATCGACTTCGGGAAGACCACGCCGCTGCCCGAGGGCCAGACGCTGCAGCACGACGTGCCCTGGCAGGAGGGCAACCGCGAGGACGGCTACCTCTCCGGCCTCAACAACCTCATCGACATCCTCACCGAGATGTGCCCGGGCCCCAGCGCCCCGGTGGCCTGAGCGCCGCCCCCGCCCCGCCCCCGCCCGCCGCCTCCCAGTTCCCTTCACGTCCACAGGGCGCGGCCAGGGCCCTCCCAACTGCACTACAGGACACTTTGCGGGCTTTCTCCTTCTTTTCCTCCTGAGGGGCTTTGCTGCAGGGTCTCCTTCTGGAAGAGCAGTGCCCGCGCCAGGCCCCGCCGCCCGCTGCCCCCCGGGGAGGCCAGGGGGGTCCGGTGGGCATCCTCGGGTGCCAGGCCTCGGGCGGGAGGCCTGTGGGCGCTTGCTGCCCCCTGGTGGCCGGTGGCCATTCGTGCCGCGGCTCCGCACAGCCCATCTCTGACATCCTCCGCCCCGCTGGGCTGTAAGAGTAAGGCGGCCAGACGTCCCACTTTGGGCGGGACAGTCCCGATGTCTAACAATTTCATCCCACGGCGTTTTTAAAAAAAAAAAAAAAAAAAAAAGTCGCGGTTTTTGTCTGGCCACCATATGTAAGAGCCCTGTGTCGGCGGTGCCGGTCCCGCTTCCTTCTTGTTGGGGCACAGAACCCCGTGGTGTCAGCCCTGAGGAGAGCGCCCCCCGAGGGCAGCCGGGTCCAGGGCACGTGTGGCCTCTGCCGTCTGTGAGGCCGGGAGCCAGGAGCAGGCTGCTATTCCATCTGCCATTCCCGCCCAGGAACTCGGAGCTCTGGGGCCGCCCACCCAGAGCCGCCTGTGCCTCCGCCGCCCCCTCGGCCGGGGTGCCGGGAGGGCCAGGGCCAGGCAGCCCCCCGGGAGAGAGACCTCAGAGGACACGCCTCCCCTCTGTTCCCGCCTCTCGGGGGCCCTGCCTGCACACTGGGGTTCCTTCCTGAGCCCCCCGCGGCCCCTGCAGTCCAAGAAGGGCTGCAGGCTGCCCCTGCCAGGCAGGGGCAGCAGGAAGCCAACGCCTGCACCTGTTTTCCCTGAAGCAATCCTAGTCCCGGCGGGCTGGGCCTGTGCTTGCTGTGTGCGGGCAGCTTCGGGCACTGGCCAGTGTGCCCGCCTCTCCCTGGAGGCTGGGTGCTGACGGCAGCGGGCGCCCGTTGGGAGCCTGGTCCTAAGTGTCAGCGAGCGAGTGTGTGCCTCTGAGCGAGAAGGACGTGACCCTGCCTGGCGCTGGAGGGCAGACTCCGCGGAGGCCTGTGGAGCCGGGCCCTCCTGTTGTGGGAGGAGAGTTGGGGGCCAGGCCAGCAGCCCCCGGGCCGGCTGCCCTCGGAGACCAGGAGTCCAGGTGTGGGTACCTGGGGGGGGGGGCCAGTCTGGAGGGGGAGGCTCCCGCCCCCCCACGTGGCAGCTCCCCGTTCGTTCGCCTGGCTTGGGGACAGCCGAGGGTGGGATGTAGATTTTAAAAAGGAAATCACTTTTCAACTCCCTGGCTCTTGTTCAGACAGTGGAGGACTCCGGTGTGGGCCCACCTGCTCCCCCACCGCCCCCCCAGCCTGTGAGGGCACGTGACCCGGAGGCTGAGCTGCGTGGGCTGGGGGCCTGGGCCGTGGGTGCCGGGGGAAGGGGGGGGGGGCTGGGCCGAGGGCGCCGGGCGAAGGGCCTCACGGGGTCGCCCCGGGGCCTGGCTGTGAGCTGGCAGCCGTGGCCTGTCCGGGGCGGTACCGCTGTCCGCAGATTCCCGCTCTGGACGCACCTGGGCCCACTCCCTCCCCGCCCCCCCCCCCCCAAGCCAGCACTTTAGCTTCAGAAGGGGCATCTGTTTAGGGCTCTTCCTTCGGGGCGGGGTCTGTACCCACTGTGCCAGCTCCCTTCTCGCCCTTTCTCCTTGGACCTGCCACCTCCTTACCCGGACCCGGGAGAGGATTTCCCGGCCGCGCGCCGGGGCTGTCTGCAGGGCCTTCCCACCCAGGCCGGCCGGGGGCCTGGCCACACAGGTGGGGGGTGAGCATCCCCCCGCCCGCCCCGCCCCCGCATTATTGGGGTTCCTATGCCTGAAATGTTTTCCCCATGCTCGGCCCGGACTTGCCTGAGAGCCGTGTAAGAAGTTGTAAGTTATATTTATTTTGCTGTCGTCGTTAATTGCACAAAACACTAAGACTGAGAGGCTGGGTTCTGCGTCTGCTCTTCGCTCTGCCTTCTTTCCGAGCCGCATGTCCTGCGGGGGGTCCGGATGCAGCCCCCCACCCCCACCCCCATTAGCATCCGTCCGGTCAGCCTGTGTATACAAGCCCAGCCTTCTCCGGAAGCAGCCGGCGTCACCCCAGCCAGTGCCTTCTCTCCGGGGCGGCCCGAGGGGCCTCCCCCCTCCCTCCCTCCCTCCGCGCCCGCGCCCCGCGTCGCCGGAGAACCCTGACCGGCCACACCGCAGTGCCTGTCAGACAGGCCGCAGCCGCTCTGTTCCTTGTAATAAAGACCTGGCGTCACGACGCGTCTGCTGTGTGTGTCCTCCCCCCCGCCCAGCCCTGGAGGGGGGTCGGAGGGCCTGGGGACGGGAGGGTGGGGTCGGGCTGTGATGACCCCGAGGAGGAGGGGTCTGACCTGACCCGTTAGCGTTTGAATCCACAAAGGACTGAAAACTCGCCTCAAGGCCAGTCCCCTGCCGCCTCCACCGGACCTGCCGGGCGCGGGCCCCTGGCGGCCACCGCAGTGCGGCCCCGGCATTGCCCCTGGCCGGGAGCCAGCAGCCTCGGGGGGCTCGGCTCTGTGTCTCCTGTTAAAAAGTAACGTTTTTATTGATTTCAGAGCGGGGAAGACAGACACCAGTGATGAGGATCACTGACCGGCTGCCTCCTGCACGCCCCCCACTGGAGACCGAGCCCGCGACCCGGGCCTGTGCCCTGACCGGGAATCGAACCGTGACCTCCCGGGTCATAGGTCAGTACTCGGCCACGGAGCCACGTAGGTGGGGCTGTGGCCCCCTTGTGTCCCCACCCCGACTCCAGGGACAAGGCTTGTCTCCATTTTACGGATGGGGAGACTGAGGCTTCGGATCCAATACCTTGACCTGGGGAGTAAGTGGGAAGCGGGGACTCGGATCCCGAAGTGGCCCGGTTTCTACGCCGAGTCTGTCTTCTGCCGGGGAGTGTGTGTGTGTGTGTGTGTGCAGGGGGTGGTCTACAGGGCTGTGTTCTCCTGGCCCAGGTCCCAGGTGGGGCTGAGCACTGGCTGCCGGACCCGCAGCCAGCCCGGGAGTGAACCAGGAGCCGCTGGGCGCTCGGGCTCTGTGTCCCTGGCTCTATGGCCTGCAGATGCGCAGCCCTCTGACCCCTCGGCCCCGGGACAAGACTCCGGGTCACCACCCGCTCCTCCCCCGCCGCCGAGCAGCCACGGGCCGAGAAAGCCCGGGAGCGGACTGCCTGCCGACCCCGAGCGACGGGAATGTGACGGACACGTCCTGTGAGAGGCTAAGGGGCCGCCTGGCGCGGCCACCGAGCGCCCGTGCGCCCGCCTCCCTCGGCCTCACCGTCGGCAGCTGGAACTTAAGCCTCAGACACCACCCCTGAGAACACTGGCCCGCAGTGTTCACACGGGGCTTTCTGAAGTCTAACAGAATCCAGCCAAACACCCGGCTCGGACTCTCCGGGAACAGATTCCAGCTAAACACCGGGGCCGAGGCTGGGGCTGCCCCGTCGGCAGCGGACCTCTGGGAGACGCCTCCTCACAGGCTTCCAGCAGGTCCGGCTGCCCCCACACCAGCGCCTCCAGCCCCCGCGGACGCCCAGGGACAAGGCGTGCCTCCTGCGCGCCCGCCACTCCTGCCCTCTGTGCCCCTGCCCAGCCCGAGGGCACCTTCCGCAGACGGGGAGGGCAACCTGGGGGACGGGGAGGTCTCCAGGATTTAAGGAAACCGGGAACCTGGGCTACTAGCCGTGTCCCGCTTTACGTGCGGATAACAGGGATGCGTGTGTATAGATATGTGCAGGGAGATATGTACAAGGCGTGGCTGTCATACTTGGCATTTTCATGGCGGAGGGGTAGATGGCCCATGGGGGCAGGGTCACTCTCAAGATGGCCTGTGGGGGGGGGTGTCACAGCACATGGCCCGTGGGGGGGGTCACATGGCCCATGGAGGGGGCGGGGTCACAGCACATAGCCTGTGGGGGGCGGGGTCACAGCACATGGCCCGTGGGGGGGTCACATGGCCCATGGAGGGGGCGGGGTCACAGCACATGGCCCGTGGGGGGGGGTCACAGCACAGGCCCGTGGGGGGTCACAGCACATGGCCCATGATGGGAGGGGGTCACAGCAGATGTCGGGGGCAGGGTTTTTGTAAAAGCAAACAGTCAGCTAGCACGCTGGCCAGAGGAAGAACATAGCAGGGAGGTGCCTCCTAAGTAGGTGCCATCTCAGTGGCATGGCGCCCTGAAGACGCCCCAGACTGGGGCCACACAGCTTTATCGGCTCCAGCGACCAGACTCCACCTGGGCGAGGCCTCGGATCAGTTCTAAGGGGCCTCGTCCCCTCCATCCGCATGTGTGGTGGCTGTCTGGTCTCCACCGGTTATTAACGAAGATGTCGGCTGGCTCGGCGGGCAGGCTCAGGGGTTGAGTGTCGACCTATGAACCAGGAGGTCACAGTTAGGTTCAGGGTCGGGGCACCTGCTGGGGTTGCAGGCTCCATCCCCAGGGAAGGGCGTGCAGGAGGCAGCCGGTCCATGATTCTCTCTCATCACTGGTGTTTCTATCTCTCCCTCTCCCTCGCCCTCGGAACTCAATAAAAATATATTTTAAGAAGAAGATGGAGCCGGGACGGGTTTGGCTCAGTGGATAGAGCGTTGGCCTGAGGACTGAAAGGTCCCTGGTTCGATTCTGGTAAAGGGCATGTACCTTGGTTGCGGGCACATCCCCAGTGGGGGGTGTGCAAAAGGCAGCAGGTCGGTGTTTCTCTCATCGACGTTTCTAAACTCTCTGTCCCTCTCAATTCCTCTCTTTGTAAAAACAATAAAATATATTAGAAGAAGAAGAAGACGGAGATGCTGGCTGGGCCATGGGCTGGGCCCTGCCAATTCCCTCCAAGGCAGCACCAGGCCCGCCAGGCCCTGTTGTAGCTGAGCATCTGGTTCTGAGTTCTAGAGAGAGAATCACTCTCACCTATTGATGTAGGACGGTGGTTGGCAAATGCGGCTCTTTGGTCCCTGGAGTGTGGCTCTTCCACAAAATGCCACGGCCTGGGTGAGTCTATGTTGAAGAAGTGGCATTAGAAGAAGTTTAAGAAATGTGGCTCTCCACAGAAATTTCAGTCGTCATTCTGTTGATGTTTGGCTCTGTGGACTGATGAGTTTGCCGACCACAGATATAGGAGCTGACATGCGCCTGTCACACACGCTTGCCTCACCAGCCCCCCGCACAACCAAGACAGGGACGTGAGTTTTATCTGCAGGCTGGTCCCAGAGACCAGTTTAATGTGTAAGCTTCCGGCTGCAAAGGGATCAGACTGTCAGAGACACGGGGCTGGGAGGAGAAATGGCCGGAGCCCCCCGGGAGGGGAGGAACGGGGCTGAGAAGGTCTGAGGAAGGTGAGGATGCCCTGGGGGAGGGCGACCTTGGGGATGGGGAGGGTGAAAGGGCAACCTTGGGGACGGGAGGGCCACCTTGAAGACAGGGATGGTGACCTTGGGGACAGGGATGGTGACCTTGGGGGTGGGGAGGGTGACCTTGGGGACGGGGAAGGCGACCTTGGGGACAGGAGGGTGACCTTGGGGGGTGGGGAGGGCGACCTTGGGGACGGGGAAGGCGACCTTGGGGACAGGGATGTGACCTTAGGGGGCGGGGATGGTGACCTTGGGGATGGGGATGGTGACCTTGGGGACAGCGAAGGCGACCTTGGGGACGGGAGGGTGACCTCGGAGATGGGGAGGGCGACCTTGGGGATGGGGAGGGTGACCTTTGGGACGGGGATGGTGACCTTGGGGAACAGGAAGGTGACCTTGGGGACGGGAGGGCGACCTTGGGGACGGGGAGGGCGACCTTGGGGACAGGAAGGCCGCGATTGCCAAGGCAGCGGGAGAGGGAGGAGCCGCAGGAGCCAGTCCGCAATCCGCTCGGTTATGACCATGAGAGCGAGGATGGGAGAAGCCACCGAAGGTCACGTGGGTGTTTATTGATAGAAAAGGGGGGAGGGAGAAAGGTCTCCAGGATTTAAGGAAACCGTGAACCTGGGCTACTAGCCGTGTCCCGCTTTACGTGCGGATAACAGGGATGCGTGTGTATAGATATGTACAGGGAGATGTGTACAAGGCCTGGCTGTCATACATGGCGTTTCCATTACACGTACAGCGGTGGTGCTCGAGTCACGAATTCCAAAGCTGGCGGGCGCTGAGGGAGGGGAGCTGCGGGGCGCCTTGGAGATGCAGCCGGAGGGGGTGGGGGGCTGACCGAGGCCCGGAGGGAGAGGCTGGGTGCAGTCCGGCCCGGCTGCAGGGTGGGGACCGGGCGAGTGGCAGGCTTCCCTCCATCCCTGACATCAGGAACCGAAAAGGCGCCGGCCAGCCCCGTGGTCTGGGGGGAAGTGATGGAGGAAGCTGGGAGGTCAGCGAGCACGTGTTGTCAGAAAACAAGAGAACCGCACGGACGGACGTCAAGAGGAAAGGCCCAAGCCAGTCACGGCGTCAAACACACGCACCCGTGTGCAGAGCCAGGCGTGTGGTCACGTGTGTGCTCACAATTAGAAGAAGGAGATGGTGGCACCATGTACAGCAGCACGGACTTAGCCTGTGAGAGGGCGCCCGGCCATCACAGCCGCCCCCCCCTCCCCCCTCTGGGAGCCCAGCGGGGGGCGGGGGAGCCCGGGCCCTGGGGGGGAGAGCGCCCAGGTGCCTGGAGAGAGGAGACTGCACATCGGGGTCCGGGGGGGTGGGGGTGGGGGGGGCCCGGAGGCTGGAAGGAGGGGCTCCTGGACCAGGCGAGGCCCCTGGAAGACGGAAACCCCCAATCTGAGCCTCCAGCACCCCGTCCTGCCGGCTTCCCACACGCAGAGGGCTGAGTGTGCACGTGTGTCTGTGTGCAGTGCCTGTTTGTGCATGTGTGTCTGTGCTGCGGCCCACGGAAGGGTGGCCGTGTACCGGGGATCCTGGGGAGTCGGGCCGCCAGGGGGGCTGGCGTTTTGGCAAATCCAGGCAGGAGAGGAGGAGGCGCTGGGGACAGACTCCACAGCTAATCAAAGCAAGAAACAGCTCCTACAGAAACTCGTACCAGAAACGTGGGCACACCCAAGGCGGGCAGGGAGACGGCCAGGAAGGGAGAGGGAATCGGGCAGTGTCTCTGCTTTAGAAAGAGACCCGGTCAGGGTCCAGCCTCCGTGCAGGAGGCCAGGCCTGGGCAGGGGAGGACCCTGATCCTCCCCCTCCCCCTGTCCCTGCTCCTCCCCTTCCCATGTCCCTGCTCCTCCCCCTGTTCCTGCTCCTCTCCCTGTCCCTGTCCCTCCCCCTCCTCTCTGCCGCTCCCAGCCCTTGGCCCTGACAGAAATGGGGAAAATAATGGCTGCCCAGGCCCTCCTTGTTCCCAATCTACAGATGGCTAAACTGAGGCCGGAGCAGTGGGAGAGACAGAGGCCCTGAGGCAGGAGCTTACTCCCCGGGGAGGGCATTCAGGTGCTTCCTGTCTCACAGTGGTGGCAGATTCATGAGCTTCTGACCAGGAGCTTCCACACCCCTGAGACCCCGCCCTGGGACCCCGCCCTGGGACCCCTCCCCTGAGACCCCGCCCTGGGACCCCGCCCTGGGACCCCTCCCCTGAGACCCCGCCCTGGGACCCCGCCCCTGGGACCCCGCCCCTGAGACCCCGCCCCAGCGACCCCGCCCTGGGACCCCTCCCCTGAGACCCCGCCCTGGGACCCCGCCCCTGGGACCCCGCCCCTGAGACCCCTCCCCTGAGACCCCGCCCCAGCGACCCCGCCCTGGGACCCCTCCCCTGAGACCCCGCCCTGGGACCCCGCCCCTGAGACCCCTCCCCTGAGACCCCACCCCTGAGACCCCTCCCCTGAGACCCCGCCCTGGGACCCCACCCCTGGGACCCCTCCTCTGAGACCCCGCCCCTGGGACCCCTCCCCTGAGACCCCGCCCTGGGACCCCGCCCCTGGGACCCCTCCTCTGAGACCCCGCCCCTGGGACCCCGCCCTGGGACTCCGCCCCTAAAAACTCGCCCCTTGGGACCCCGCCCCTGAGACCCTGCCCCTGGAACCCTGCCCCTGGAACCCCACCCCTGGGACCCCACCCCTAGAACCCCCTCTGAGATCCCACCCCTGGGACCTGCCCCTGAGACCCCTCCCCTGAGACCCCGCCCTGGGACCCCTCCCCTGAGACCCCGCCCTGGGACCCCGCCCCTAAAAACTCGCCCCTTGGGACCCCGCCCCTGAGACCCTGCCCCTGGAACCCTGCCCCTGGAACCCCACCCCTGGGACCCCACCCCTGGGACCCCCCCTAGAACCTCCTCTGAGATCCCGCCCCTGGGACCTGCCCCTGAGACCCTTCCCCTGAGACCCCGCCCTGGGACCCCTCCCCTGAGACCCCGCCCTGGGATCCCGCCCCTGGAACCCCCCCCCGGGACCCCCCCCGGGACCCCCCCCCTAGAACCCCCTCTGAGATCCCGCCCCTGGGACCCCACCCCTGGGACCCCCCCTTAGGCCCCCCCCTGAGGTCCCGCCCCTGGGACCTGCCCCTGGGACCCCACTGCTGGGCCCCGTGAACATCTGAAGCTCCAACAGGAAAACATCTGATAAAATCCAGGCCCCAGGCGATGCCCCCTCTCAGCTGACCCAGCCCCTTCCCAACCCTGGCCCTGGTCTGCAGGGAGGGCCCAGCCCGCCCTGCTCCTCCCCCTCTGCTCAGTGTGGTCCACCCGGCGTGGAACAGGGCGCCTCCAGGACGGTGCCCCTCTGACCCGCTCCTCCCAGTGCCCGCTGCTGGCCGATGCCCAGTGCTGACCGGGCCCAGGGTGAGCCAGCACCCGGGACCACGAGGACCTGCCTCAGGCACCGCCCGCTCCCGCCGCTCTGGAAGGGGGCGTGGCCAGCAGAAGGTCAGCCTCCTCTCCCAGCTGGTCCCCAGCCTGAAGCCCCACCCCTTCCAGGCCATGGTCTCTGGGGAGGGCCCTGCAGCAAACGGGCTTTAGCAGTGCTCCTCCAGCCGGGCCGCGGGGCTCACTGGTCCAGCGACAGCTATGAGCCGGGTGGTCAGTTCACTTCCTGTCAGGGCATATGTCTGGGCTGTGGGCTTGATCCCCATGGGAGCGGGGGGGACAGGAGGCAGCCGATCTGTGATTCTTTCTCTGTTGATGTTTCTCCCTCCCTCCCTCTCCCACATCAGTCATACAGACAGACACACATGCTCCCCCTCCTCCGCCAGCCCCTCTGGGGACAGCCCCCCAGCAGGAGGGGCAGGAACAAGGCCTGAGACGCTGGGGGCGCACACGGCGGTGACCCCGCAGCCTCCGGGGCCGGCCTTCTTCCGGCGTCACCGGCGTGGCCATGGCCGGGGCGGCCGGGGCACCGCAGCCCAGGCCGGCTCCTCCCAGCCCCCTCGGTGGGCCCTCCGGGCTCAGCCCCAGGGGCCCGAGGAGCCGGGTCGGCGCAGCTGAACCCCCATAAACCCCTGGCAGTGACGGCTCCCCGCGGGGACCCTGCCTCGGCCCGAGGTTAAGTCCGGCAGCGTCTCCGTCCGCACCCACAGGCCGGCCCGCAGGTCTCGTTCCCGCCCCGCGTGCCCCCGAAACCAGGGCGCCGCTCTGACCAGCGTCACAGCTCGGTCCCCGGAGCACCTCCCTCACGACGGAGCTCTGCACCCGCTGGCCGGGGTGACCGGGGGCTCTGGCTGGCGGCAGGCCCAGCCGAGGGCGGCCGGTGAGTGCCGGGCGGTCAGCCGAGCCTGCCTTCCAGCCGCCGGGCTGCGTCCATCCGTTACGCAGCGTGAGAATCCTCCTGTCCATCCAACCAACCATCCATCCGTCCGACCGGCCGCTGGCTGGTGTGTCACGTGAGCTCCGGCCCCCAGCCAGCCTGTGGCCAGCCGGCTCCGGCCGCAAACACGGGAACCCCCAGGAGGCCTGGGCTGGCGTCGGGAGAGAGGAGGGAGGAGAGAGATGCGGCCAGGGGTTCGGAGGCAGCCCCACCTCAGGCGGCCCTGCGAGGCTCCTCAAAACTGCAGTGGGGGCGGGCGGAGATCAAGCCAGGAGCAGAGAACTGGGGGGCCCGGGGAGTGGCTGGAGGGGGTGCCAGGGAGCTGCCAGGCCAGGGGACCGAGGCAGCGTCCCAGCAGGCTGTCCTTGGAAAGCCTGGGGTGGGGGCACTGCCCTGGTGGGGGGTTAAGAGCAGAGACTGCAGACACCGGCCCCGAAGGGGCTCTCGGAGGAGCCGGGGCCTGAGCGGCTGGGGCCCGGGCCCCGTGCACACAGGTCACTGCTCCGGCGCCCGAGGACAGGAGGAGCCCCGAGAGGAACGCACCCCCAAACAAAGGCCAGCGCCCCTCGGCCATCCCCGTGTGGGACGAACAGTCACACAGACCGTGAGTGTCCACCTCCTCACTCTCCTCTCAGAGAGTCTTCCTCCTCAGCTCATTTGCTCCAAGACCCCAGGAGCCTGGACGGCTGCGGGCCTCGGCCTCCCCCGCGATCTGCTCCGTCAGCACCGCCCCCCAGGCCCGGCGGCCCCGTGACCCCGTGTCATGCGTGTGCTCCAGGCCACGGGCTGTGAGGACACGTAGGTTCCACGTGTCCCGTTCTCCCAGCATTCCGGAATCCAGACGCCCGGCCCTCCGGGGCTGCGGGAAGGGCTGTGGCCAGACGCGGTGTCAGGGAAATGGGGGAGGCGCGGGCGATGCGCACGCAGACCCGGGGGTGACGCTGTGGGTGAAGGTCTGACCGGCGTTCGCCCAGGCGTGGGGCCACTGCCTCCTTCCCAGGAGGTTCCCGTGGCGAAGAGCTGGGTGCGATCGGAGAGTAGGTTGGGGGATCCGTGTGTCCCCTGCCACCCAGGCGGAGGGCATGGCAGCTTCCGCTCCGGCCGGAGTCCGTCCCTCCTCACTCTGCCTGGCGCTGGGGGCCCAGAGGGCGCGCCTGGCACAGTCCGCCCGGGAGCCCCTGCTGCCGGTCGCTGTGCCCGCGAGGCGAGGCGGGTGGGTGCGGGGGCACGTTCCAGCTGAGGAGCAGAGCAGGTGCGTTTCCAAAATAAACAACAGCTTTACATCCTCCCTCTCCTCCGAACCAGGGAGCGGCAGAGACGGCCGGGGAGGTCCCGGTGCTGCGGGCGGGCGGCCCTCACGGGGCCACCCCCGGCTCTCGGGGTTCCGGGCTCACAGCTGCTGTGGGATGCCCTGCTCCTTGTAGCCTGCGAGGAGGAAGCAGAGGAGACGGTGAGACACCCGCTTCCTCAGGGATTCTCCGGAGGCGCCCGCCTGCGGTCTGCTCCTGAGGCCTTAGTCTCAGGTGACCCGATCGTCCTGATTTTGGAAAGAATCGGGACTTTTTTTAAAACGCCGCGGGACGAGGGGCAAATTGTTAAACATCGGGACTGTCCCGCCAAAAGAGGGACATCTGGTCACCTTTTCTTAGTCCCCAAGGGCGTTGGTTTTTTTACGGGAATCAAAGGGTGGATGGGAACGGTGGAGCTAGGGGTTCACTGGGGATGTGGGAGGACGGAGCTGGGGGTGGGGTGGGGCTGGGAGGTTATCCACGCCCCCTGAGTCCACACCCCTGCACACCAGCGGCCCCCCCAGGCTGGCCTGGCGTGACTTCCCAGTCAGAGCCCGGGAGAAGGTGACGGCATCTGGTGCGTGCGGACGGTAGGAGGAAGGAGGGCAGCCCACAGGGAGGGGGCGGGGGAGTGGGCATGTGTGTCTTCAACCAGCTGGACGCCGGGACACAGGGCGAGGTGCCCGGGGGTTTGGGGCCTCTAAACCATTTGGGGGTGATTATGAGGCCGCAGGAAATAGTGACCGTGTCGCTCTCAGAGCACTGCTGCCTGTTTCTGTGGGTATAAAAGGGTGCTGTGGTTATGTTTTTTAAAAGGACACCTACTACCAAAACAGGTCTGGCTCAGTGGATACAGCGTCGGCCTGCGGACTGAAAGGTCCCAGGTCTGATTCCAAACAAGGGCATCTACTTTGGTTGCGGGCACATCCCCAGTGTCGGGGGGGGGGGGGGGGGGGGTGCAAGAGGCAGCTGATCGATGATTCTCTTTCATCCATGTTTCTAACTATCTATCCCTCTCTTTCCTCTCTGTAACAAAATCAATAAAACATATATATATATATTTTTTTTTTTTTTAAAAAGGATACCTACTGAAATATTTAAGTGAGTTTTGAATTTTGGTGGTTCCCCCTATTAGCTGGTGACTCAGCCCTCTCCGGGCCCTCAGTAGACTTAACTTTTTGTCCTCTTTATTTACCCATTTATTCATCTATTTGGGGAAAATCATCTGTTCTGAGAAACCCAGGCTGGGCTGGGGAAGCTGTGGGAGTAACTGGTGAACAAGAGCAGCCATGAGCTGACAGATGTTAGGCCTTCAGCGACTCACTGGACCTTTATGTTTGTTTATGTTTCAACATTTTCCAAAATAAAAGGCTAAAAATAGAAGCCAGTTGGCCAACCGGAAGAGGGGATGAATGGGGCATTTGGGAGGGGTAAGTGGGGGGGAGGGCAGGCAGCCCAGGCCCGAGGCTGGCACCCACCAACAGACTCACCTTGGGAAACTTGGAGAACCCAGGATGTGAGGCAGCATGAGGGAGAAAAGGAAAGGAAAAGAGAGAGGAGGCTGAGAACAGGGCAGAGCGGGCTGCCTGGAGTATAACACGGGAGGAAGCTCGGGGCCGGCGATGAAGCGGGCGGGCTGACGGTGGCCAGTGGCCAGCCATGTCCCACGGTGGCCCCGTTAGGCTGCGGGCACCCCAAGGGCTCCCCCTCCCCGGGAGTCCTGCCCCATGGGGACTGCCAAGCCCTCTCCAGAATGCTCCTTCCCTCCACCGCTCAGAACGCCCCTCTGCTGCTCACCTCCTGCCCCTCTCTCCTTCCTACCCCAACACCTGTCTGTCTGGAGGTCCCTCCTGGATGATCTGAGCAGGGTCAGCTGCAGAACAGGTGTGACCACCAGAACCCAAAGGTCCTGAAGTGCCGTGGGGCCCGGCTCAGTCTGAGCCATGTGGGTCTCCCTGGTATACACAGGAGCCACACGTAAAAGCCAATGCTGGGGAAGACCCGGGCCCGGCAGGCAAGCAAATTTTATCTTGCAAACATCTTGGATCAATTGGTAGTGACTGCCTGACGCCCCCATCGTGAGATGGGTCAGCTGAAAGTGTAGCAATTGATTGGTAATGTCTGCCATGGGCACAAGGCAGTAGAAAGAAGTGAATGTAACATTACCAAGTGTTTATTGACCCGTGACCAAGACGGGCTGTTGTTCCCTGTTATTTGCTTATTGTTGATATAAGTAGAGAGTAGAGTCCTAGCTGGCATGGCTCAGTGAGCAGGGGGTTGGTCTGTGGAATGAAAGGTTCCAGGTTCGATTCGATTCTGGTCAAGAGCACAGGCCTGGGTTGCAGGCTCGATCCCCAGTGAGGGGCTTGCAGGAGGCAGCCGATCCATGATTCTCTCTCATCGTGGATGTTTCTACCTCTCTCTATTTCTCCCTTCCTCTCTGAAATCAATAATCTATATATAATAGAGGGGTGTGCTTGTAAGTTCCCCGTTTTAAGTTCTACTTTGACCTGTTTCTCTGGCTCCCCTCTGAGGAGTTTGTTGTTGATTGACGGTGTGGTGTGCATGCTGTGAACGACCTTCCTGAGTGGTTACAACTGAAACGTTTCCTCCATTCTTATCGGAAGGGGCTGGAGGGACAGAAAGGGCTGTCGGCCAGGAGTGAGGCCAGTTGTGGGTTTTCCCTTCAGACGCGCCATCCTGGGACACACACTGCATTGTTGCTCGGGGACACCAGGCCCCTGGCGCCATCTCAAGAGTGGCGATTCTTCATCCTTTGCGGTGGGTCTATTTTTTGGAAGAAGTGCAGACGCGTTGTGCTGAGATCGGGAAGCAGTCTGGGGCCGGGGCGGGAAGTGGGTTTTCTTGTCCATCCCCAGACGGTGCTCTGGATGCCTGACATGAAGACGGCACTGGGGAGCAGTGTACAGACACCCAGGGAGCGGCTCTGACCCCGGGGAAGGCTCGGGTTGGGGAGCAGTAGGAGGGGTGGGGTTCTGGCATTTGATGACCCTGCAGCCAGCTATGGCTCCCACACCCCCACACCAGCCACCGGACCGGGCTCTGGCTGAGTCCACAGCCTGAGGGGATGGGAAGTGAGGCGAGGGGGGCTCTAGGCGGTCTCTGAGATCCAGGCCCCGTGGTCCTGGGCATAAAGTTGCTGTGAAATGGTTGGTGAGGGGCCAGGCAGTCCCAGTGAGGAGGAAAGGCTTTCGAATCAAGCGATAAAGAGCTGAGCGTAAAGGAGACATTTCGCTGCTCGGTCTGTGAAACGCACAGTCACAGGGTGTCTGTGGGCAGACGCACCCACTGGCCTTTCCCTTCCTTCTGGAAAGGGCATGAGAAGGTGCAGGGCACGGTGGGCGCAGGGACCAGAGCTCCCTTGGCCGCACCCCTGCCTCCGCGGCTGTCAGAGCTGGATGGGGGCTCCGCCCTCTCACTCCTGCTCCCCCAGGAGTCCCTGCAGGTGGGGGGCTGGGCGTGTGGGGAGGCCCCTCTGCCAGGCCGCACGGACACCGTGAGGACAGGGAGCCCTTGGGGAAGGGGCAGGCCCAGCCCATCTCTGGGCCCCGCACCCACACCCTGAGGGTCACAGACACCCAGATACAGATGGTCAGCCTGCTCCTCCTCTGCCCCGCCCCTCACATAGCCCCGCCCACAAGAAGGCGTGGCCGCCCCTTCTGTCCCCGCTCCTCACCCTGCTAAGCACCGCCCACCAGGAGGCGTGGCCAGTGGCAGCTCCTCCTCCATCTCCGCCCCTCCTCCTGCCCCACTCCTCACCCTGCTAAGCCCCGCCCACCAGGAGGCGTGACCAGTGGCTGTTCCTCTCCAGTCCTGCCCCTCACCATACCCCGCCCACCAGGAGGCGTGACCACTGGCAGCTCCTCCTCCATCTCCACCCCTCACCCTGCCCACCCCACTCACCAGGAGGCGTGGCCAGTGGCTGCTCCTCTCCAGCCCCGCCCATCATCCTGCCCCGCCCCACCCACCAGGAGGCGTGCTCACAGCTGCTCCTCCTCCAGCCCCGCCCACCAGGAGGTGTGACTGCTCCTCCAGCCCCGCCCCTCACCCTGCCGCCCCGCCCCCAGGAGGGTGGCCCGGCTACTCACTGGCCAGGATGACCATGTCCATGCCCCAGAAGATGCTCATGATCCAGCCCACCATGACGATGGCCGTGAGGATCTGGATGAGGGCGGCCGCGATGTTGAGCCAGAAGACGCAGCACACGTGCCTGTCGGGGAGGTCGGTGCGGGCCCCGCACAGCACGGCGAAGGCCGAGACGAAGGTCCCTGTGAGGCCGAGGGGACAGCGGGTTAGGGTGGGAGAAACCGGTGCCTCGCCTAGACAGAAGCAGCCTGTGTGCAGCCCCTCCCGCTCGGACAGGGGCTCCCCGTGCCCCCGGAGAGGCCATGGAGCCCCGGGAGGGGCCAGCATGGGGCTGCAAGGTCTTGGGGACAGAGGGCACGAAGCCCCTGCATTAGGAGCAGGGCGGGTGCCGCGGGGCCGGAGAGGGGCATGGGCACCTGTGGGCGCTGAATGCCTGGAGGGGGTTTGCCCCAGTCTGCGGGAGCTGCACGCTGGCCGTTTGGAGGAGTGACCCCGGGAGCAGGGCCTAAGAAAGCTGACCTGTGGTCGGTGCTGGGACTGACGTGTCTGGGAGGGATGCACTCAGGGGCAGCCGGAGAGGCCGGGCGGGCCCTGCGGCTCACGGAGGACGGACCCAGGCCGTGGGCTCATTGGGGGTGGAGGGGTGAGTCACACCTCGGCCTCGGCCAGCACCGCAGGTGGGATGTGAGCTGGACACGCGCTGACACCATTAAGCAGAGAACACTGCCCTCCGGCCGGCTCCCACCGAGCACTGACCCAGGACAGGCCTGGGTGCAGCTGATCCCGCAGGGGGCGGGCAGGAGGCAGCTGACAGATGATGTTTCCCTCTACCTCCCACTGCCCCTCTCTCTGAAGATCAACTGTAAAACGTTTTTAGAAGTCCAATGCGCTATCCACTGCGCTACGGAGCCACCTTGTAAAAAGTTTTTAAAGAGAACACTACCTAAGCAGAAGGGGCCTGAGAGGAGCAAAGCACAGACGCTGCTACCCGCTCAGCTACAGTGCCCTCAGCCAGCGCCCCTTGGACTCTCCGCCCCTGGAGGCGGCCATCAGCACCCCATTCTACACATGGGGGCCAATCCCACCCCCGGAGGCGGTCACTGACACCCCATTCTACACATGGGGGCCAATCCCACCCCCGCAGGCAGCCATCAGCACCCCATTCTACACATGGGGGCCAATCCCACCCCCGGAGGCGGTCATCATCACCCCATTCTACACACGGGGGCCAATCCCACCCCCGCAGGCAGCCATCAGCACCCCCATTCTACACATGGGGGCCAATCCCACCCCCGGAGGTGGTCACTGACACCCCATTCTACACATGGGGGCCAATCCCACCCCCGGAGGCAGCCATCAACACCCCCATTCTACACATGGGGGCCAATCCCACCCCCGGAGGCGGTCACTGACACCCCATTCTACACATGGGGGCCAATCCCACCCCCAGAGGCGGTCACTGACACCCCATTCTACACATGGGGGCCAATCCCACCCCCGGAGGCGGTCACTGACACCCCATTCTACACATGGGGGCCAATCCCACCCCCGGAGGCGGCCACCAGCTCCCCATTTTACACATGGGGGCCAACCCCCCCCCCCCCCGGAGGCGGTCACTGACACCCCATTCTACACATGGGCACAAGCCCGGAGGGCGGAATGCCTTGCCCACACAGCACGGCCCAATCAGGCCCAGACCTCCTGGTGCACCGCCTGCCTCTCCTCGGCCAGCGCGCTGCCTCCGAACAGTGAAAACCAGGGAAGCGGGGGTGGCTGCCCTGGAAACAGGAGGGCGGGTCCTCGGAAAGTGAAAACTAATTTTGATTTTAGTTTTAATTCTAGTCCAAGGAACTGAAAACAGCCTCGGAGCATCTGCACACCCCGTTCCCCGCGCGTTATTCACAGCAGCTACAACTCGGAGGCGCCGGGTGTCCATGGGTGGATGGGTGGGTGAATGAGCGAAGGTGGAGGGTCCAGCCACGGAATAGCACTCAGCCTTAAAAAGGAAGGACATTCTGTCCACGCTGCCACAGGGGATGGGCCTCCGGGCTGTGGCGGAGGTAAACAAGCCCTTCACAGAAAGACTGCCTGTGGGTTCCATGTACAGGAGGTGCTGAGAGGCGTCAAGTTCGTTGGTGGGAAACAGAAGGGGAGGGGAGGAGAGGGGAGGGGCGGGCGGGAAGTTAGGGCTGACGGAGCAGCGTTTCTGCCTACGAGATAACCGCCGTCTGCTGCGGGCAGCGGCAGGCTGCACGGCGGTATGGCTGGACTGGACACCGAGCTGTGCACTGACGGGTGCCGAGACGGGGAGTTTCATGTGGTGTGTACGCTGCCACAGCAGACGGAATGTGGGGGGCGGGGGGGGGGAGAAGCTTGTGTACAGGAGGGGACACCCTCTGGTGGTGGTGTGGGAGGGGCTTCTGGTCACCACTCTCTCTGCTGCCACATGGACACGCTCATGGTGACTGTGACGTTATAAAAAGACAAGCACAGCCGAGACCGGTTTGGCTCAGTGGTAGAGTGTCGGCTTGGGGACTGAAGGGTCCCGGGTTCGATTCCGGTCAAGGGCATGTACCTTGGTTGCAGGCATATCCCCATTAGGGGGTGTGCAAGAGGCAGCTGATCGATGACTCTCTCATCGATGTTTCTAACTCTCTCCCTTCCTCTCTGTACAAAATCAATAAAATATATATATATAAAAAAAGACAAGCACAGTGTGCACAACTGACTTGTCTGATAGGTACCTAGATTATACCTGCAGCTCACTAATTTAGATACATTATTATTAATGAACTTATTAATGATAATTTGGATGAATAACTTCAGTAAGAAACAACATTCACCAAAACCGGTTTGGCTCAATGGATAGAGCGTCGGCTTGGGGACTGAAAGGTCCCGGGTTCAATTCCGGTCAAGGGCATGTACCTTGGTTGTGCGCATATCCCCAGTAGGGGGTGTACAAGAGGCAGCTGATCGATGACTCTCTCTCATTGATGTTTCTAACTCTCTATCTCTCTCCCTTCTTCTCTGTACAAAATCAATAAAAATATATTTTTTTAAAAAAGAAACAACAGTTATTTGTCATATAAATTAACATATGCCACAGAAGGATTAAGTGTGTGGATTTCTAGTATAAAAATATCTTCTTAATCAATTCAGCAGGAGATTTAGAAAATAATTTTAAGGAGGAGCCAAGGTAAACACCTGTACTTGCTGCCTCTCACAACCACATCAAATTTACAACGAAAAGTCAGAACAACTACCACCCAGGACCACGGGAAAGCTGGCTGAGCAGAAGTTCCACAACTGGAGAGGTGAAGAAGGCACAGTGAGGCTGGTAGGAGGTGCAGGGGCGCAGAAAGTTCTGGCACTTTTAACCAGGAGGGAGATACAAGCTCCCGCTTGCTCTGAGCTCCAGTTCCGGGCGAGACTCAGGGGGACCCAGACACATACGGGGAGTCTGGCATGGGGGCAGGAATGTGAGGGTGGCTTTCTTTCAGACAAAGGCACTCACAGCAGTCATTGTTTCTGCGCTGGGACCCCTACAGTGCAGGACGAACTGGCAGCCATTGCTGTTTGCTCTGCCCTGGCCCCACCCAATTTACAACCCCACCTCAACCCTGCGCAGTGGCTTTTGCATATGAATGGCCTGTCCTTTCTCAGCCTAAAACCTGTCAAACGGGCAGCAGCAGGGTCCGGGAGACCCAAAGCAATCAATCCGGCAGCATCAGTTGGGCCTCATCTGGGCACTTCCAAACCCCAACCCGATACAAAGGGGAGGAATCTGCAGATCTCTCTGTAGCTCCTGCTGGGTGGCCCCAGACAGTGTCTGGCTTTGCATCTCTTTAGGGATCCAAAAGCCAGTGTACCCAGTGGTCACAGTGAGTCCCTGTGGTCTGGGCCCTGTGGGTGCCTGTGTGCTGCTGGCAGGACAGCTTCCTGCCAGGCGCGGGGTCAGCTCGATGGGTGCTGCATGCAGGGCTGATGTCGCTGCTCGGGCCACAGGTCTCGCCACCCTGCAGAGGGCATGCGCCTTTAAGCTGGAAGTCACCCACCCAAACGGGCTCCACTGACCGGGATCCGCTGGCTGCCTACCTGATGCCCCACCTCTCCGTGTCCCGGCTCACGGGCGCCCAGGAGGCACCGCCACACGCACATGTGTGGCTCTGTGTAGTCACACCAGGAACAGGGTTTGCATGTTACCCCCCTTACATCCCAGGACCCGGGCACGGCTGGAGCACGCAGGCCTTGGAGGTTTAACTTGGACAGACGGCCACGGAGGCACCCGCAAGGCGCCCACGGGACAAGCCGTCTGTGGCTCCTGCGCTCCCTGCGCTCCTGTCCTCGGCTCAGGTGTGGCGTGGTTGACTTGAGGGGACCGTGTGCCCTTGGGGACAAGCCTTGCGGTTGGCTTCCTTTGTAAGCACTTCTCCACCCGGTCCACCAAATCCCTGCCCTCACTCGCCCTCCAGGGTGCACACAGCCGCACAGAGCGCGGCCCCGAGGACGCTCATCTCTGAGAAGCCGGTTCCACAAGCCAAGGGGGTGGCTCCCTGCCTGGCCCCTGCAGAGGAGGTGCAGCTGAGCCCCCCGAGATGGCAGCCTGCACCCCTGCTGCTTTGGGAAGGTGACGGGGCACAGGCGACCGGTTTCCAGCCCTCGGGGCACCCGCTTGGGGAGGTTCTTGTTCGTGTGTGATTGGCACCCGGCAGCATGCAGCCCGGGATGCTGGGACTGGGCAGCCCTCTGCTGTTGGCAGTGAGCGGGCCGGCTCCTGGGGGCTGTGCGATCTGGGAAGCCACTTCCCACCGCCTGGGTCTGGGAAGGGACAGCCCTCAGGACCGTCTGACAAGAGGAGCTGTGTGAGCACTCCATGTCCCAGACTGTCCCCCCAAAGTGGACACGAACAGAACACGGACCAGGGAAAAGCTCCCCAAAGGGTTTGGGGATGAGATCCCATCCCCTTCCCCACAGCAAAGTGTCAGACATGCTTCAGACGTGTGAGCAATCGGTGCACTCCGACAGCACCTCAAAGGGCACGCCATCCCTGACTGAAATGCAGACTATTTTCAGCACCCACATCAGCTCGGGAGCCGCCACCTCCCATGCTGTCACACATGAGCCTGCAGGAGCCACTCCCCCCCACACCCTTACCCCCTTCTTCCTCCCCCCCCATACACAC